CCGTGGCCTTGGTGTTATCAGCACCGCACTCTACCGAGTGAGCCACAGGCCGGCCCTAGTTCTACATATTTTCATACTGGTTTTTATTTCAAAGTTAAATTGCCACCAAGTATGGTAGGCCCTGAAATATCTGGATAGTCTGGTGTCAAAATCTTCACCTGGACACTTGCCTTGGTGGTCAGGATTTACTGTTTTCCATGGCTTCAAGAGGTATGTTACCTTGCTTAGCATCCATTAAATAGATGCCCTTGTTTTGCCTTTCAGTGATTCTAGATTTTTTTTGAAAGACCTAATTCTCTCTCCACCAGTTATCCTAAGAGAAAGAAATAGTCTCTGAAGTTTGCTATCACTCAGAATCTGAAAACCCCCAGGACTACATACACAGCTGGAGTTTTTCTTACCTGACAGCTTCTGTCTCTACCCTTTTATTCTATCCCTCCTCCCCCCTTTGTAGAGAACTTATTTCTTCTCATATAGTACTTAATGTGTACCTTTGTATGATTTCTCTTAAGCTGCTGCAGTTGCCCCTAGCAAGACCTTGAGCATACTTGCTTTTTATAAACTGAGACAGACCCTAGGTAGAAATTTGCCTAAAAGAACCAGTTTATTTTTCCTTACAGAGTGTTTCAAATAATGGAAATATAGTTTTCTATCCTAGTTTTAAACTAGTCTTGCCATGTGAGGATTAAAGGAGGCATTTCATGTGAAAGTACCTAAGGGGTTTCAGGCATATAATAGGCATTCAATAAATGTGAGTAGAATCCAAATCTAGAAGCTTTGAAGTAAACAAAACAAAACAAAACAAAACTGGTTTGTACGCTAGCTGTCTCCATTTCACCACCATTCCCTTGCTTTTCAACACCCATTAAATCTGACTTTCACCCCATTATTCTGCTAGAAATTATTCTCCTTTAGGTCAGAAATTGCTTCTTCCTGCCAGTTTCAAGAACTTTTCTTCAATCATCATAAGTATTAATATGTGACATGTAGCTTTGTTAACCATCACCCACCCCATTCCTTGTCCCAATTCTTGAAGTCTCACCTTCGGGGCTTCTTTGTTGTGTTATACTGCCAATTCTCTCCAATTTCTTAGACGTAGCCTTCTGTCTCCCCAGTGGCTAAACTTCTCTTTGTGACGCCTGTGTAAGTATCCCCCAAGATTCAGACTTGGCCCTTTGCTCTCTTAGTTTATTTACTGCCTCTGAGATCTCATCTACTCTCATAAATAACACTGTTTTGGAATTGGGTTAGTAAATCTACACTGCAGTACTAACTTTCCTCCTTCCATGGTTGCTGGTACAGGCATAGGGACCCTTGACATTATTAGGCTGCGCTCTGACCAACTGAGCTAACCGGCCAGCCCCCCTTGCTGGCACATTTAAATAGAGATATCCAATGAAATGCTTGCTTCCTTCTCTTTCCTTTCTCTAAGACTTTTGTCTTTTCATACGCTTTTTTTCTCTTCCTGGACCTAGATCTCTAAATCTAGAACCTTCTATCCCTGAGGCTATGATTCTGAGCTATCTCCACCCCCAGTCCTATAAAGGAAGTTCAGAGAAGAGTCATTAAGATGATGAACGAGATGAAAAGTATGCCCATGAGGAAATGGTAAAATAATAATAATAAATGAGTTTAGCATGACAGTGTGGATTTTAAGGGAATATTTAGGAATAATCTTCATGAAGTATATGGAAGGCCCTTATTGAGCAAATGGTGACCAGCTGCTCCTTGTTTCTATTGAAGACTGAGCAAGAGCATTTGGGCATAAATTGTGGCCTTGGAGATTTAAGTTAGGAGACTCAAAATAGAATTGCCCTCAGTCAGCCATGTGAGACATTGTAATGTATTACTTGGAATGGATATGGCATGGTAGGGCTTTTTATTTCTAAAAACAAATTCATTTCTGTGTGATGTAATTTAGATGGGATTATATCTGAGAGGAATCTGGGAGGGTATTACCAAATTAAATTATGTATTAAGTTTACGTCCAGTTTTTATAATCCTTAGATTTTGTAAAGAAAAATTATATATTTACGGATTTTTAAAAATAGTGACCTTGAACTACCAATGGTGGTAGGTACCATTGGGTCACAGCTTCTGCCCTCAAAAGGTTTGTTAGGTTAAAACCAATAATTACAGAATACAATACAATACAGTACAATATAATACAATACAAATAATTGAATCATTTTAATTAGCAAGCAGTTTCTTCAGTCTGGATTATTTGTTTCTAGTGACGCATCTCCACCTATCCCCAAACCAGTATTTATTTAGTGTCTCCTTTGTGCAAGCCTCTATGCTAAATGCAAGGGAATCAGCAAATAAATTGTTCTTACCCTCATGTATTTATGGTTTGGAAGAAGTTACAGACAAGTAGACAGGCAGCAGAATATAGTATGATGAATATTAGAAAAGGATGTTGTATTAGTCCATTTTGTGTTGCTGTAACAGAAATACCTGAGACTGAGTAATTTATAAAGAACAGAGGTTTATTTGGCTTACGATTCTGGGAGAGCTGCATCTGGCACAGACCTCAGGCTGCTTCTAGTCATGGTGGAAAAGTGGCAGGCAGCGGGCGGGTACAAGCGGATCACATGGTGAGAGAGAAAGCAAGAGAGAGGAGGTGCCAGGGTGTTTTAAACTACAAGCTCTCACGGGAACTAATAGAGCAAGAACTCACTCATTAATCCCTCCCCCAGGGAGAGCATTAATCCATTCATGAGGGATCCACCCCCATGACTCAATCAGTTTCCGACACTGCCACATTGAGGATCAGATTTCCACATGAGTTCTGGTAGGGACAATACATCCAAACTCCATCAGATGTTTATAGAGTTAAATGGGAACACAAAAGTGTGGCCTTTAAACTATTCTTGGTGAATCAGGAAAAGATCATTGGAGGAACTGACTTCTAAACCAAGCTATGGACAAGCAGTCATCAGCCAGGTAAAAAGTAGAGAAGTATCAAATATATACTTATATCCAAAATGACATGTAAAAATATGTGCATACACATAATTTATGTTCACAAAACAAAATCATCAAAAACATATTCTATGACTGTCATGAAAACATCTGAAATTAATACATTATTGATTATCCAGATTAGTTTGTCAATAAAGACATGTTAAGTTATTTGCAAAAGTGACTTAATACATATGGGTTCTTTTGAAAATTTTGGTATAAGTTTTAAAGGGTGAATATAGAAGTTTGTGTTATTTCTATGTTCTGTCCAGATATTGCCACTATAGCCAACTGCCCACCTGACAGCATCACTTCATCACTAGTCATCAACGAATAACTAATTCTTGCTGTCCAAACAAATAAATTAAATTACTTATGTTAATATAATTAATTTTAAAAGATATAAAGATATACTGCCTGGGTTTTTGACATTTAACTGAAATAGTTTTTGAGAACCATCACTAGAGTTTTGGGGATGGGTGAAATGAAATGATGGCTAGAAACAGATAGTCCAGATTGAGGAAACTGCTCCACAATTCAAACAATTCAATCATTTTTATTGATCACACTTACATTTTTTAGACTTGGACTGTCAAAGAATACATTCAAAATATCCCCCCAAAATGTATTCCTATTTTCAAAACTAAAAATAAGGTGAACCCCAATAAGTTGCCAATCATGGACAAACACTGCCATCCCTGGGTGGGCTTAGGAATTAGTCTTGCTGCCTGCAGACCCCATATCCAGTGTGCCAGGGATGAGCAGCACTCCCTCCATCTTGGTCTCTCCTGTACTTCCCCAATCTTAGACATTTCCTGAAAGAACTGGCTTCTATATACTTCTTGATACTACAGACTGCCTTCTAACATCGCCTTTGGACACCTGGTAGCTTGACTTGGGCCCTCATCTCTTGTAATGTACTCAGTTCCCAGCATCCCTACCCCGAGCTAAATCTTGCTTGATACTACAGACTGCCTTCTAACATCGCCTTTGGACACCTGGTAGCTTGACTTGGGCCCTTATCTCTTGTAATGTACTCAGTTCCCAGCATCCCTACCCCGAGCTAAATCTTGCTGGCCATCTGGATTTCTCTTA